AGGGTGTAGTTTAGGGCTTCGGGTTTGCTTGCCATTGACATGGCATTCGGATGCCTAACTATTTCATGCAGAGTTGTCGCGGCACTAGAAACATGAGGCCAAGTCTTTCCGCTTCTCGCAAGTTTATCTTTCGAGCCTCCAAGAAGCAAGACTTAATGGCTCAGAGAAAGGGCTGGAAGGGAAACATGATTGACCTTTTTGTCTGTCCGGGCAGAACTCCAGGGGTCCTTTGCCATTAAATTCGTTCTTGCCAGGGTCTCCATGGGAAATTTATACAAGTACTCGAAATATGCGGTGCTCAACTACTAAGTTGGAGTACATTATGTAAGCGTCTTCAAAGAAGGATCCTATTGTCTGAAGTCTGCTTTTTGCTACCAAGGTAAAGTCTTGTAATTTCTGATCTAAGGTGGAATTGATGGTCCTCTTTGCACCTTTGGCGTAGAGCTGCTGAGCTCAAGCTAAGAGAGCCCCCTTGAACTCGGTGTCTGCACTGAAGATCAACACATCGTAAATATCAGGCGAAGGTCCGTGGAGTATTTCATCAAGCTTCGGCCCAAGTTAACAATCACAACTCCGATTCAAGCCGAGGTCCAAGCAGACATGAACTATGGCCTAAGTCTCTCATGGGCCTCCGGCACCCGCGCCTGCATGATTGCGACAGACTCTTCGTGCACTGAAGGCAGCAAGCGGCTCGCCCCGAAAGTATCAGGTCAGAAGCAGTCCACCAAACTCTCTGCACACAAGTCCAGAGACCCACACTGGGGGAGACTGGCCGCCAAAACCCCTTGCGGCCTAAGTCTAAAAGCCTAGTCAACTTGTCAAACTTGCATTCCCAAGCAATCGGAATAAGTACAGAACGTCGATTAAAAAAAAGCGTGCTTTCACAGACACTGGGTGTGCTGAGGCTGCGGCTGCAAGCCATCGAAAGCGCTTGCAGGTCACACCTCTGCAGATAACAAGACCCTTCCAATGCAGACTGCCTTGCGATGAACATGCGAAGCTCCGTTTAGGTAAACTACTACGTTTCTGCAGGACGCCTCTTTCCTGGCACCGTGTGCCATGTCCTGCGTCCGAAGCAGAGGGCGGCATCAGCTGAAACCGCCCCTGGTGAAGATGATCGGAGAAACGAGCGTTTGTCTGCACAGAACCCGTGACAGTCAGTCAATATCACCGCTCTCGAAGAGAGGTGTCGAGACGTCGCTCTTTGCTGCTTCCTCGTCGGCACCAGTTTACTTAGCAAACACTCCACCCCCCCTGCCTGGCGCCACACCATCGTCCTCCGCACCGTTCTCAATCAGAAGGCTTGCCACGTCAAGGTGACCATTCCCTCTTGCAATGGCGAGAGGCGTCGCGCCTTTATTGATGGCTTTATTCTTGTCGGCGCCCATCTCGATCAGTAAACTCGCCATGTCAAAGTAACCATTCTGACTGGCGAGGAAGAGAGGCGTCAAGCCACGTTTGCTCGTTCTATCAATGTCGGCACGCTTTTCAATCAGAAAACGCACGACATGGAGGTGACGACGGTCAACTGCCTCAATGACAGGTGTCATGCCGTTCTTTGCTGTAAAGACAGCTGTGGCACCAGTCGGCGTGCAAGGCTTGTTGAGGTCCGCACACGCGGACACGAGTAGCTTGAGACTCTTCAGCGCCCCACTACCGGCGGCCGCTATCAACGCTGTCCGACCCTGGGAATCCACCAAATCTGGGTTTTGCGGGCGTCGCAGCAAGGCCTCAACCGCAGCAGCGTCATTTGCTTCACTGGCGTCTGAAAGCCGGTCAACGTCGCCTGCATCAAACTCGGCAAAGTCAGAAACGGCTACCTGCAACTCAAGGGGCAGCTTCAAGGCGGCGTCTTGATCCATTACAGCGTCTCCGCAAAGGAGCTTCAGTCGAAAGCATGGCTGGCCGACAAGAGGGGATAAGAGCTGCTCAATGCCCCTGATGACGCTGCCGTGTGCATCGGCCAAGGCAGCAACCTCCGCTTCAGTAGACGTCACGAGCTCGCGTCCGGTGAGGTTTCGAACCCGGAGCATGGCAAGCTTAAACTATGGAGCCTTTCCCGCCTTTCCCCTTCCTCCTCCCCGATAAGGCTGATGCCCTCCGCATGCGAAGAAGTTCTTTCCCAACGCTACGTAACACTTGGCACTTGTAGACTGCACTGCTTGAGAAATTGTTTTTTGCATCTCCGTCTCTTTATTTGCAGGGTCACGCCAAACCCCGGCGGAAGGGTTTTTTTTTGAAAAGGTTTGGCCAAAAGATTTTGTTTTAAAGGTTTGGCCGACCCTTCGGTTGCGTTTGAGTTGCCGCAAGCTATTGGGGAA